ATTACGCCGTGACGTGGCGTCACTAAGCGCGTTCTATCGTCTGTACCACGGCGAGTGTTCTGAGGAGTTATTCTCTCTTATCCCACCTTCTCCTTTCCTTCAGAGGACCACGCGCGCTGGCCTACGTTGTCATCGTCTAACTGTGGCCACAATTCCAACGCGTACAAAGAAATTTGGTGACTCATTTCTTTGTCGCACTATCCGTAAATGGAATGCTCTGCCCGCTCACGTGTTCCCTCCCTCTTACAACCTGGGATCCTTTAAAAGAGGCGTGAAGAAGCAACATGCAGGCCGGCAGGGTGAAGATGGCTGGTGTGGCAGGTAAAACTGCTGTATCAGCTATCGTCACGTCTGGACTTCACCTTCACTTAACATCAGGTGGGGTGGAGTCATTTGTCGGACCTATCTATAAAAAAAAAAAAAAAAAAAAAACATTATTTACTAAGAATTTTGCAGAATTATCTTACAAAAAATTAATAAATACAGGGAGCCATTAAATATGTACCTACTAGCGAAAAATAGGTTATTTCTCATTATGTTAAGTAACCCTGTTTTGAAACATGATGTAATATAGTTAAAATAAACTTTAAAAACAGTGTAATTCTGATTTTCATTAAATTACAATAATCATAAATACCTATTATGATATTTTATTTTTCATCATTTATTAAGAAGGAACTGTATCACAGTTTTATTATAAGTACTTCGTATAGGATAAGATACTGTGAGTAGCCCATTTTTTTTCGCCTAGGTTCTATCTACGTTTATAAACACCAAAATTCTTCTCCCACTATGCCCACAGTCTACTACTGCATAGTACATGCGCTATCAATTTTTCATCGTTGCAACTGTTGTAAATATTTGTCGAAATGCCATAGTGTAAAAGGCAAACTTTATCGTCTTTAAACATCAAAAGCGATTAAAGTATTTATTTTGTAAAAAAATAATTTGTAAATACCAAATGTGCATTTTGGACATCAAATACTATTTTATTTTAGATTCACTATTTTAGCGATAATGGCTTGTACATTAAAAATACATGTATGGTGTCACGGACTTTTTTGTAGAACTTTTAAGAGATACATATTCACTCTATATTATATTCATGTAACTTTTATTGTTTTTGCAATGCAGGCCGAAATGGCTCGCAGATGGCAGATTTTTTCCGTCTTCCTTGACCCTTATTGTTATATTTTGGCCAATTCAATCAATGACTACACAAGTAACAAATTATTATCTATATGTTATTATCATGTATGAGCTATATTATTGTAAAGTTTCATTAAAATCCATTCAGTATTTTTAGGTGAAACAGTAACAAAAATCCATACAAACGAAAGATTGAAATTAAAAGCGCAAGTGGTTAATATACAACTTTAAATCGTTGTAGATCCTAAACAGTCATATAAAATGAAAAATGGTGTAGGGAGCCTAAACACGATTATCTAGACAAGGATACCCCCCACTCGACACATTTCGTCAATTTATTTTTTTTACTTCGTCTCAATATGGCGCCTAATTGTTCCCATATTGAATTTTAATTATTATCATATCTTTAGTAGCACTCCCATGATTAAGACGAATCGATTGATGTATGAATCATCAAAATCGGTCGACGCGTTTGGTTTCTAGTGTGCCACAAAGGAACAAACATACATATATAGACTGTTAATAAACACTATACCCTGCCTGCGCTCTTGCATTGCGCAGTCGGGTAAAAAGAAAGATTCAAGGAGTACCGAGAAACGCACTGGCATTGATAACTGATGTGATACCTTAAAAGAATACAGCAATAGTGAATTTGAATCAGTAGTTTTTTGCATTCATTAAAATGATTCGAATAATCATCGAAATGTATTATTAATTGTAATTACCAAGCCAGACGACCGTAATTTGGCTCTACCACAATGCGTGTATAAAATAGCATTAGTCTACCAACTAGTAAAGATACCTCAAACAAAGACCCCAGACAATGTAAAACAGTTATTTTTCTGGATAAATGAGACAGAGTAGCGAACCTGAGAATCCAGATATGGCGACACCATGAAAATCGGTTTGGAAGCCACTCCGCCACGGTAATAGTCAAATTGAAATAACCACAAAATTCCATATTTGTATTATCAAAGTATTTTATTGCGCAAAGTTTTTTAGAATTTTTAATGTTCTGGAAATGTTTTAGTTATTAACAACACACAATATAACTATTTTCATTGCTCCGTGAACATTTAATATTAAGCCAAAGTTACTATGGACACTTGGCATTGTACTTTGACAACGTTGTATCCTTATCTATACTTATAATAAATCTGTAAAGAGGTCAATTCTGTACATGAAATATATTTTCAAAATAACTATCAGGGGGTGATTAGTGATCGACACTGATGCCAAAAATGCAATCAGTAAATTTTTTGTCTGTCTGTCTGTCTTTGTGTATGTTCCTTATAGAAACAAAAACTACTCAACGGATTTTAACGAAACTTGGTACAATTATTCTTCATACTCCTGGACAGGTTATAGTATACTTTTCATCACGCTACAATCAATAGGAGCAGAGTAGTGAAGGGAAATATTGGGAAAACGGGAGAAGTTACTCCATAGTTTAAGCTTCCGTCGCGTGCGCAGCCGTAATAGTTAAAGTTACATAGAAAGCGTGTATGACAAAATATTCTACATAAAATTGTCTAAAAAATATCCTGCAACAGCATATGTCTATCTTTTATGGTTTACTCACAATAATACGTGTAACTCCTGATAGCTTTGTAGTTCGGAGCATTCTGATTATATTTGTTTACTCTTACGTTTATAATACTCTCACTCATCCCTAATTTAAAAAAGTTAACATTATTACCTATTCAATAAAAAAAGAATTAAATAAATAAATTCAATGTGTACAATACACGCCTGAGAACAAAATCTATAATCTACACTACAGCTCTACACCGAAGCGAAGCGAGGGCGGGCCACTAGTAGGGAATAAAACAAAAATAAAAACGACTTCACATCTTCGGAATGAGAGAGTCCGACAGTAGCAAGGACACAAGTACCTATGCGTGTTTACTGCAAATAACCTACTTGCTAAAAATCTCCAGTTTCTCAACATCTCGAAAAGCCTTGTATTCTTTGGTACCATTATCTCCAGTGATGTTCAATGCTGTAGTTACTTTAAAGACAAAGTTTGTATTTACTGGGGTAAATTGGGGGGACAAAGAAGTTTACTTTAATCATAAGTCAATTCCCACATGGAGTAGGTATCTTTTCATCTTTGAACTGAGTACCTTGTTAAGTACCCTTAAATCTGTCTATTATTATGATGATCTTATTACAGCTTGTACCACATGGAGTGTGCTCTGAGGAGCTTTTTGATATGATGCCCACAGCCTCCAGGTTTTATTATCGTACCAAGTTGGTTACGTACTGCGCGTTTTACATTTCATTTACTTCAAATGAGGCGTAAAAAAGTTTTGCTGAGTTGGCAACCCGCTTGTAATAGGTATCGTGTTGCAGGCGTCTATAGACCAACAGTGTGCTTTTAGTCTTCCAAAAAACATAAAAACTCGGTACTCGGTATTCGTTAGTCCAGGGCTTCATCTATCTTAACATGAAGTGCTGTATCGCTGAGTATCTTAAGATTCTGAGAGAGAGATAAAGATTCGATATACCTAATAACAAAGATGCAATTTATATCTTTATCGTGTGTGATGGTCCATCGGATAGCATGGCGAGTGATAATTTTAAGATAAAATATTGTAGTAACTTCGCTATATATATGTGGCGCGCTCAATAATGGTTACTGGTAGACACGATTTTTATTTCGCAGTCTAATTTCTACTTGGTTTGTGTTATTTTATTGTACTATCTAATCTAATTTTCTTTTTCTAGGACAGTTTGCTTTTGTAATTCAAGTACTTACTTAATAATTTGATATCGTGTCGTGAGAAGTGAACGTGTCGACTTTGACGAAGCGTCGATGTAACCTTGCGATCTAACTCAAAGCAGTAGCGCCTTGATGGTTTTGACGTTATTATCATTAACACTGATATTTAATTTAATTATATGTTTTCTAATAGTTTAGATAAATAACTCACTGTACTCTAAGTATAGAAAAAAAAAAATTATAGGTATTTAAAATTATATATTTTATTATCCAGTCATTACATATCTCTAGAAAATGTGATGATTTTCGTAAATAAATATTTGAGGAAAATAACTCGCAACATTCTAAGAAAAGTCACAAGCAGTAAATATCCCTTATTACTTAGTTAATAATAATTAGCTACAACTTACTCAACCTATTAGACTAGTGTTGAGCAACGAAAGCGGTGAAAAAAATAGGAATCAGTACTACTTGAAACTAACTGAAGCATGGAGGAGCTCATTCATGCAATTTTAGTCACCCATCCAATGACCAAACATTGCGAAAGTTGCTTAACTTTTACAATTGCATACTAAACGCGTTAACCATTAACGTTAGGGTTAACGAATTGATAGAGGTTCGCTCAGACTACATTTTACTATTGCGCTTTATAGTATAGCGTGTATAGCAAGCCCATATAATATAGTATAGCGTGATGTGAACGTGCTCTATGTAAACATATTTTGACGACCTCCGTGACCCAGTGGTTTGTACGCCGGGTTTCATGGTGTCGCCGACTAAAGAGGTCCCGGGTTCGAATCCCGGTGAGGGCAGATGTTTGTGTGACGAATACGAGCATTTGTACTCCAGTCACGGATGTATAATATGTATTTCTATATAAATATACTTATTTATTTATATTGACCAAAATACAAGAGAATGGTACAAAAGGCGGACTTATACATGTACAGTGTATTCTATCCGTTACCCCAGCATCCCACAATGCAAGCCTTATAATGCTTACTTTGGGGCTAGGCTAATAGGTGTGAGTGTTGGAAATATTTATAATTTTTTATATGTTACGCGATATTATCTTGCTGTGAGTCCATTCACACCATAATTAATGCGAACAAATTGAATATTATACCTGTCGCGTTTGCTTCTTGACGACGAGCAACGTAGTCGCGTTGTAGACAATGCTGTCGTCCGTCGCGATGGCATCACACTCAGTTTTCACTCTGCAATCACACATTAATTGCATCAACATCCCACATTTACATAACACATTATCATGTCCCGTATGAACTTGCATATTCAGAACAATACTGCATTTGATTTGACGCGTTGCTCAATGTCTGAGAATTGGGTCCATAGATTTTTTTCAAGTGCGTTAACATAGTAAATTTATTTAGTAAATAATTCTGTACAATAACATTCTTCTTTAATATGTCGTAGTATATGGCATTATGATAAAACTGCTATAAATCTATAGAAAAAAATGTTGTTACAGCCTAATAAATACTAGAAGAAATTCGTCATCAAGATCTCATTAGCATATTTGGGTGTCCGTCCAAAGAGCGGAAGGCGCAGCCGCCGCGCTGGCGCCGGTTCGAATTCTGTCTGTAAACTGGAACGAGGGGGATTTTTTCTAATAAAAATTTGCTTTCTTGTCTTTGGAAAATATAAGCAAAGAAGCAAGATAAAAATTTGCTTAATGTATAAGGCATGTCAAAATTCCTCTATGCCTTAAATTCTTAAGGACAAGGATGGATGGAACCATGAAAACTTTTGGAAACGTCAAATATAAAAGGGGAAAGTAGATTTCTTTTTTTACGTGCATCGTTTATAGTTATAATATCACGGGTGGAGTTAATCTCAGAATGCTATGAACTGCATTGGACACACATGAGCCAAAGCGCTTTGGAACGTGCGATTTAAATGAATGAATATGTTTGGTCACGTGTACTGCCACCGACGATGTTTTGTGTTCATAATACTATGATACTTTATAGCGATTTCACTTCGCTGTCTTGTACCACGACGGAATTCAAACTTTTCTAATTTTTCCTTTTATATTGATGATAAGAAAGAAAATAACTAGTTATAGGAAAACAGACAAACAGTAATGTATCTCAATATAGGAGCATTTTCGTCGTCGTTTTTAAATTATATTCTAATAAACCGTATATATATTTGTTTCTTAGGTTTTCACGCACATTACTCATTGAATAAAACAAGTTTTAACGGGTTAATGCACGAACTTTATTTATTTATTGACGTTTCGCAGCCTTTTCAGATCTGCATCGTCAGAATAATGATTTTTTATTTACTTTGTCGAGCTACCTTCGAAAGACTTTTATGGAGCGTTCGGATATTTCATTGGAAGATTTTTAAAACTTTATTGTCTATGTATGAGTTTATAAGTTTATTTTGTTAATAAAGTACTTTATTTAAAATCCCCAAAATAAAATTATTTTAAGTCCCCCTAATGCATGTTCACACACTGCAGACTTAGGCGCGAAAATAAGTCTGCAGTGAACATGCATTAGGGGGACCAAACCATTACATTATATTTGATAAACCACAGATCCTTGCAAATGAGCAACGAGTCATTCCTATTCTCTATTATTTCTGTGATCTGTTAAGTGTCCTTCTTCGCCGTGACGCCGGATACAAAACCTCACAGTGAATCGCAATATATTGAGTTCTCGTGATATATCGCTAATACTTGTCCATCTTCGAAGAGAAATATTATTAAACATCAAAAAGTAATATATAATTAATTATTTTTTTTATTCTCGATGCGTCATACTGCATAATAACTTTTGAAAGGTAATAAGTTACTTGATATGGCATTTTAGACTTTAGTGAAAAAAGTGTGACATAGAATCTAATTTCAAAACTGGTAAACATTTTCTGACCCCCACTGTACAAAGACCTTCATATTCTAGATAAGATTCGAATTTTTGTTGGTTTTTTTAAGGATCGAGTGTCATTTCTATGAAAAATTAAAATCATTTAATTTCCTCGAGTCGTAGTGTTTGTGATACCTTACTTGGATTTTCTATGAAAGCGGTGCTATTTCATAATTCTATTGTTAATGTACTTACCTGCCTAATGCCCCTGCTCATCTTAATCGTATTGCTGATAATTTAATAATGAAATGATTGTGAATAACTTTATTTGCATTCATATATAAAGTGTAAAACTGAATGTGTCAAAAGCCATATAAAAAAAAAACTAAGAATAACCAAACAATATCCGTCTTATAATCCTTAATAGGAGATTATAATGATTATCTGCTATTTATCAAAACTAGTATTGAGATACCCTCATACTAGTTTTAATAAATAAGATGATAACATGATCGTTAATCCTTCAAAATATTCATTTCATCTCATTTTGACTGAAGTGCTACTTTAAATATTTTATCAGTAGTCTTATGTAACATAGAAATATAAAAAAAACCATATAAATACTTCGATAAAGAAAGAGATAAGGTACTGTATTTGTTTGTATGCTGTATGACTTGCAAAATCAAAAACATGTTTTCCGCATGATTGTCGATACATAAAAAAAACCGGCCAAGTGCGAGTCGGACTCGCGCACCGAGGGTTCCGTACACACTCAGTTTAATACCTCTACGCGTTCATGAGAAAAGAGGTAGTAACTTTAAAATTTACAAAAGTATTTTTTATTATATGATGTAACTAAAAATTTACGATTCTCGCAATTTTTCCTTTATCTGTACTATAAGACTTACTTTGTACCAAATTTCATGATTTTCTTAGTTCACGGGAAGTACTCCGTAGGTTTTGAATCCCGTGCGAGTTTCCAAAAATTTGCGGAAATTTGCGGCATGAACGGCTGTATCTTTTGATTGCTTTGGCTTAGAAGTTTGATTCTTTCACAGCTCCAAGGGACAGTAGACATGAGTATTAGATATGAATTTCAGTTTGATACCTCCACGTGTTCCTGAGAAAACCGGACAGACGGACGGACGGACAACAAAGTGATCCTATAAGGGTTCCGTTTTTCCTTTTGAGGTACGGAACGGAACCCTAATTATCGAAATGGTATTCGCTAAAACGTTTTTCGAGTAGCCGTAGTGAACCCACACCTATAATAATATAACATTCAAACTCGTTTCACAGATTTCGAGTGGTTCCAGTTCGTATAGTAACATTTTTCTTTGTTTTTATGTAATGTAGCATCTAATAAATTCACAAACAGATAGATTTTGTTAATCAATAACTTCATATTTTAGATCTGAATACGATATAACGATTCTGTATTCGTTATATCGTATTCAGCTCTAAAATATGAAGTTATTGATCGAATCCTACTTCTACGCAATTAAAAACTAATTAAGTTGGAGTAGGATGAACGTCGATATCGATATCATCGAAAGTCAACTATTACCGCCCTATTCCAAAACGCGGACTAAAGTTAGTGTTGGTTTAAATGTTGTTTTTTTTATCTGAGAAATGTCTTACGCATCCTTCAACCACTGGGAGAGCGAGAATAAGGTATGTGGGAGTCCTTCCTGTCCACTTCAGCTAGCCCTGAGGCCAGCTGAAGTACAGTGCCCTACCCACGCCCTGAACAGGGCCACTAAAACCTAGACAATATCCCTGCACCGTGTCACCCGAACCGCATTGCTGGGACCGTAGTCCCAGCCATCCTTATAAAAGTAATTTCTCGACTCTCGAAAGAAAATGCTTATTCTTTCGAGTCGGAATTTTTATATTTGATAAGTTGATGTTGAAGAACTTTATCAAACCGTTACATTCTTTATTGTGGCCTTTAGAATGATATTAAAATAACCTTTGAAAATAAGAAAATGGAATTATCATATATGGATATATATTTTAAGTATTAACTGCTCGATTTATTAATGTTATGAAAATGTTTACCAAAACAAAGAATCAACTTGATGGAGGTTTTAAGCAGTATAAAATTAATTTTGAACATACTAGCCGGCGAATTCGCTAACTTTTTTGACATTTACAGTGTCTAACTAAAGAGAAATATTCTCTTTAGTTAGACACTGTAAATATATCCATCGATGCTTTACAAAACAAGGATCTCAGTGGCGTTATAATAAAGCAGTAGTGGATTACTAAACTGCTCGGTGATTTACTTCCATCTGTCAAATGCAATTAGCGAATAGCCCTACTGGTGTGGCAGCGTTGAGTTTTGCCAACGCGAGAAAATTACTTATAACTAGCCTCTCAAAAAAGATTAGACTTATTTGTAGGTAGATATTATACATTACGTATAGAATACTAAGATATTGAATCTCACAATAAGGGAAACCGTTTTCTATTAATATAAATCAACTGAATAACTACAAATAAGTTTAAGCTTTATGCCGATTGTTATGGTGTTGTGCTGATTTATGATAGATTACATAAACCATTAAGATGCTCATTAAACTTTAGAAAGCGAATCGTCCAGGATTTGCAGCGGTTGAAACTAAATTTTTACTCAGGAATACTGTAAATTTCTACTGCTGATAGAACTTAGAAAATCGACTTGGTTGTACCAGAGATACTTCCTGCCAAAACATAGGTAGGTACCTACTTGAACACTACCGCCGTGTTATATGTATAGAATACACTAGCAGATGTACTCACTATTGTAGCTTCGGCTATTTTACCATAAAGCATTTTAATAGCCTCAGTTAAACTTATAAAAACTAGAAGATCTAGATTCCAGCTTCACAATATTTTTAAAATTCTCATACCTGGCAACACGAACTATATATACCATGAGTTTACTGCTCATATGGATTTTCTAACGATTTAAGTTTTTTTGTTACGCCACCAAACCAGACATTCAAGATACATATTTTTTGTTTTAGTATTGTTGTGCTTTTTATTTCAATAATTGGTGCCGCCATCATTATAACCCGTTTTCGAGCGGCACGCCTAAGTATATGCAATATCTTGAGTTGCCGCACATTAAAAAAAATAACGATGTATCTACCTTCGCGAAGCATACGGCAAAATGATTACAATGAGATCATCTTTGGATTTTAGGTCACTGAACTTATTGATAAAGTCGCCAATGAATGAGAAGTTTCAGTGACTCTATTAATAGACTAGCGGCCGCCCGCTTCGTACGCGTGGAGTTAGTTATTTGCACATACTTTTTGACCCCTTTTCACTGTTCGTTCCCCGTAGGTGAAAGCGTGATAATATGTAGCCTATACGTTGACCCGGCTTTTTAATAATAATCGTGCCAAATTTGAAGTGAATCCATGCAGTAGTTTTTGAGTTTATCCCGGACATACATACAGACAAACAGACAAAAATTCTAAAAAATATATTTTTGGCTTCGGTGACACCCACCAAGTCACCAAGTATTCTTTTAAAAAAATATTCAATGTACAGTTTATCTTTCCATTTTATTATATGTATAGATAAACTAGCGGACCCGACTTCGGACCACAATAAAAATAGGGGTCGGTAAATGTATGTATAATGTATGTATAACGGTAAATTTTCACTCTCTACCACCATCCTTCACCTATCTGAAGATAGGAGATAAAAGAGTGAAAATTAAGGGTTGTAATAAATTTTGACCAAAAATAAAAATAAAACTATAGAAACCCACCATTATCATATAGGTGAAGGATAAATAATAGCCATCGACCTATTGTCAAACCAACCAAATACACATAAAATTATAAATATCAGTGAAGTCGTTTCGGAAGAGTTTGAAAACAATCACTGTGGCACGTGATTATATAAAAAAATATATTCGTAAGTTATTTTGGGGCTACTTATTTATAATTTAGGAGTTTAAAATTTTTATTTGGGCTTGCTTTTTAACTCTTTTAGGGTCAAGTTTTAGGATTTAGTCAAATTTGAAAGTTTTGTAAATAAAGTTGTTGTTTTTTTGGGATTTTGTATATTTGCAATTGACAGTTTCGATATACCGAAAAGTGTCGGTACTCTTAATGATAAATGTTGTTTATCATGACTCGAAAAAAAGAAGATCTACCATAGACATTAGATGATCGAAGAAGACATGCTGTGACAACCTTTCATGCGTTATACCACTCTGAGAATGAAACTGGCAAACTGATAAGTACTCTACATAATTTCAGAGACTAAATATTATATAAACATTAGTGTGTAATAGTAATATAACAATTTGAATGGTATTTTTTTCTGTATATATAAAGCTTTCACGCCTAATCCTCGAAAATAATGATAACGCAATGTAACAATACAAACGCGAAACCTCAGAAATTTAAAATAAGGCTTATAAACTTCTCGTAATTATAGCTTCGTTAATACTGCATGTTTACATGATATAAAAACTAATAGTATAACCTACGTAGTCTATACTTTTATGTTAGGTATATTTAAGTGTAACATTTTTACTCTTTTGTGTTCTCCATTACTTCATCTAAGTCACTTTTAATGTGTTCTTCTAAAGATTTTTTATTAGGTAAGAAATCATCTTAAACGACTATTACTCTTAAACTAACAGATCTACGAGTATTTTAACTGTCATAATTTTCTTTGAAAGTTCATGAAAAGCACTTAATATCATCAGATTCAGATTTTTTTCAGATTTTTCAAGCCAATACTTTTGTGTTTTAAAGTGGGGGGGGGGGGGGGGGTAAATACAAATTATATACAGAGTCGTCAAATTGAAAAATGACTTCAATATGAGATCACTCATAAATTCAAAAGAATGTAGGGGAGCTACCCTAAAAATTAAGTTTGGAATAATCAAAATCAGACTTCTGTGTAAAAATAATGCGTTAGTGATCATTAGGGCACGGATAAATATGTATTAAAAAAATCTAAATATGTACATATAATATGGACTAAAAACTGTCATATAAGGTGCATAAAATAAGAATATCTTTCATAATAAACATTGTTTGTTGTGAACAATTATTATGCAGTAACAGTTACATTAAAAAAATAATAAAAAGATTGCGAAATGTTCAGTTTATTCCAATAAAAAATGAAGATTTATTCATCTTCCTCTAAATCTGTCTTATTAAATGGGTTGCATTACACAATCACATGCTTTTTTAAATTATCGAAATTAAAACTTTGTCAATTTGGTCTAAATATAGCCTTATATTGGCTGAAAGATCTTTCCACGTCACGTGATGTAATGAGAGCGTATTTAAAGACGCCTAGTTCTAACCTAGCGCTTGCTTTGCTAGTCGTTAGTACCGCGGCGCGGGGGTAGACAATGTGGGATAAATGAATTTAAAGAATCAAAAATCTAATTACGAATAGTCCGCGAGAGAAATAAAACACGCTCGGCCGTCTGGTAGCGAGAATGGAAACACGTAAAATTTTATATTTTTTTGTGAACTAACTCATGTTTTATGAAGTAAAATTCCAAAATATGGATGATTGTGATATTTTTTTGTAAAATATGGACGAAACCATGAAATATGGAAAATAAAAATTAGTTTTTCACAGTCTATATATGATAATCTAGGTAGAGAACACATACGAGACCGAAAATAGTGTAAATAATAATTATGCATTTACATATTAATCCGGGCTCTAGTACATAAGAAAAATACGCATCTACTTTATAACCTAAAAAAAAATAAAAATATTACAGTGAATTACTTACGATGTTGAGTTGGATTCGTTGTTGACCATCGCGATGATGTTGACGCTCATGTTGACCCTCATCATATAGTTGATGAAGCATGCGAAGAACATCATTATGCCGATCACTAGCCGGGACGGCACCACATCTACGGCAAAAAGATGAAAATGAAAATATATTTATTGGAACTAATTAAAGTTACATGTATAACAAGGTTCGTTTATAGCTATTTTAGTTTCTAGAACTGTGTTACAGCTATTAGCGCCCACCTCCAGATACAGGGACGTGTGTTCCATAATACATAATAAAAATTACAGGCCTTATCTTACCATTTACTTAAAAAAAAGTATGTGTGTGTGTATATATGAGTGTGAGTGTGTGAGTCTGTATTTGGGTGTGGCTGTATGTGTAGGCGTGTATGTTTATGAGAGTGATAGTGTCCGACTGTACTAAAATTATAGTTGCATGTGATTTCACATGTATATCCGTGTATTATTTGATGGCCTTGAGTAAGCTCTCCGTTTCATCATATGAAAGGGAATGTAACCACTGCCTAGCAACCGTCTTACACTTTTTAAGAGTAAGTGGATATATGTCAAAGATTTTGCTGGCCCGGTTATATAACATGGGAGCAATGTTTGAAAGGTGGCGACGAGACAATGTTAGCCTGCATCTACTAATTTTGCAAACTCTACCACCACGCTTACTTCTGGCAGTTTCTGGGTCATATGGGAGGCGACGATATGTGTACAGAATAGCATTAAGAATAAACATCTGCCTAGCAGTCAAAACACTTGTGAGTGAATATAGTTCGCCAGTTGGATATCTAAAAGGCTTTTACATCATCACCTTCAGAACCGCTCTCTGGGCTCTTTACTAAACGCAACAAAACACTTCCAGGAGGTCCACCCCAAGCGAAAATATTATATCAATCACAAAAACCAACTTTTGGCTAAAGAATTACCCAAACGCAGGTATAAAAAAAGGACTAGTGCGAGTTGGACTCGCCCATCGAGGGTTCCGTACTGTGGGTTCCCAGCATATTTATTTACGTCTTTTTACGTGTTACCCTCCAATCAACCACTGTGAAGTAACATTAGGGATGTGGTTTTCCTGTGGGAAAGTTTCTATGGAGTCACGAGTTAGGGGTTCGGGAGGAGCCCATTTTTTCTGTTGCTTCAGCTATCTTCGCGACTGCACTTCAGTTTCACTCAACTATCAGGTGGAATGGGATATTTTCTGCGTTTTTTAAAATTTCGTACCACAAAAGGTAGAAACGGAACTCTTATAGAATAAATAAATAAAATAAATATTTCCAACAGTCACACCAAAATGCCTAGCCCCAAAGTAACCAATAAGGCTTGTGTTATGGGATACTAGGGTAACGGATAGAATACATAGATTCTATCCGTTACCCTAATATAAGTATATTTTTATAGAAATACATATTAAACATCCGTGACTGGAGTACAAATGCTCGTATTCATCACACAAACATCTGCCCCCACCGGGATTTGAACCCGGGACCTCTCGAGTCGGCGACATCATGAAACCCGGCGTACAAACTTTGTTGTCCGTCGGTCCGTCTGACTGTCAGGACCCTATATATCGGGAACGTGAGGAGGTATTGAGTTGACATTAAATCATATACACAATTCTACGGGCCCTTGAGGCTGTGAAGAAATTAAATTTCTATGATAACGCAAAAAAAATGCGGCTGTTTATCTGTTTGTCTGTCAAGAGCCTTATCTCGGGAACGCGTGGAGGTATCAAGTTGAAATTTAAACTATATACTCAGGTCTCCAGTCCCTTGAATTTGTAAAAAAAATCAAACTTCAAGCTAACGCAAAAAAAAAATATACGATGTGGCTCACTCACCGAGTCCCATCTTTTCGTCCGATATATGAGGCAACATATTACCCCAGTTCACCTAATGGTAAATGTAAGTGGATTCCAGTCGCGAAGTTAATGTTAAAGAAATGCATATTAAACATCCATGACTGGAGTACAAATGCTGTATGTGTATGCGTATTCATCACACAAACATCTGCCCCCACCGGGATTCGAACCCGGGACCTCTCAAGTCATGAATTCGAAACCTGGTGTATAAACCACTGGACCACGGAGGTCGTCATCAGTAACAAATTGATTGTTGCAAGTACTAACAAATGAAGATTGACTCTCAGATAGGTGACAAAAACCTCAGCACCAATCAAGGAACTGTTTGCGCGTATTTATTTAGGTGACACGCCTATAGGCACACTTAGCTGTTCGCACAGAATGCATGACCTCGCAACGAGTTGTTCGCGGAAGAAAACTTTCCAATACAACGCCAATATCAAGAACACCTCATTGACAAATTGCATCTATGTATTAAAATATTAAAAAACAAAAATGAGCCTGGCCAAAGCGAAAGCGTAAAAATAAACATCTTAAAAAGTGTAAACTAGTTTAGTGAGTCAATTGTGGCATGATGCAAGTGAAATTAATCAAACTGACATCGGGAACTACGCGACGTCCGACGAATCAAATTAAATATTGTTAATGAAAATTAAAATCACAAAACCTGATATTGGAAGTTCGAACACGCTCTCAAAAATGAGCTCGTTATGAGGCTGTATACTGTATTGCGTAGTTTGAAAAAGAACTATGATTTCATCATAACCATGAATCTTAAGTAACTTATCAGAACCTACGTATTTTGGCAATGATTTTGTTTAATCGGTCTTCTTCTCGGAAACGTCAGAGGGATCTCCAATCACCTTCATCGTCTACACTAAACTGGCTTTTGGAGGTCGTACATAGCAGTGAATGTTTACTAAACGTTTGCATATTTAATTGAGGAAACTGAACACTTTATGCAAATAAAATTACAAAATGTTATAAGAATCAAAAGTTTACTCTATCGAGAGCTTGCATACTTATATCGATCGAATGCATCGGCTGTATGTAAATGACATCAACGCGTGGATTACGTAGATAATAATTAAAATATATGAATATAAGAAATCATCTATTCCTAAAGATATCCATTACATTGAGCCCAAAATACAAAATTAAAAAAATTACTTAGTAATAATTAAATTTAGTGATACGATGTTCCATAGTCTAAACGAACCATTTAGAGGAATCGTCCTTGAAGTGCTCGTAGCTACGCTTAGTGACAACACACAAGTTTTGTTTTATTCACTTAAGTACCTATATTAATCGAGGAGTTTGATGTCACAGTGGCTAGTGTGTCCGGTCTGTACAATCTTTTAAGTTAAGCTTACTAATAATAATTTCATAATGTGTGCTTAAAAATAAAAATATCTCGAGATCCTTTATGATCCAATAGGCACACTTAGCCGTTCGACACGGCTACGTTTTCAGATGTTAGCACCCACTTATCTTCACTGGTCTTGCGTGGTTTGATTTCCAGGCACGTATGGCCATGGCCCTGGGCGGCAGCCTGCTAGGGGCGGTTTAAGCCATTGCATTTAAAGACATTTGTCAGTGACATATACGAGTACTTTCATTTTATTCGGTGTAGAGCTGTAGTGTAGGTAGACTACAGTTTTGGTTCTCAGGCTTGTATTGATTTTTTACACAGTGAATTTCTGTATATACGAGTAATTATAAACCTTTCATGAAAATGTATTTAACTGATAGTGAAAATTTTGTTGCGTACTTTAGGAGCCGTTGTATTGAATTCACCATTTTTTTGGTTGAACGCGCAATATTTTAAAATATGCCCCTGTTGTTCTCATTATTCCGTCCATAGGAAAGGTTTGTACTTCAGCAGTGGAGGCCTTGAAGCTTAGCTATACTTAACACTGGTAATGTAAAAATTTAGTTATTGGCATTAATGTGAGATAAACTATTTTGGCTGCTTTGTTTTTTTTTAACTTACCCATCTACCCCCGTCAGAGGCTTAAAGTTTTTTTTCTGTATTTATAGGTAATAAAAAGATAGCCCTTCTTGCAATAAAAAAATGAGAATATTTCTATAATTATCTTAAATTTAATTTAATTTAATGGGCGTTATTTCACAAATGTAAAAAAAATGAATTAAACGCCTATTTGCCACTTTTTCTACTTCCGAGTCCAAAAAGTGGCGATATTTAATAAGAAGGAAGTTTCCTAAAATTCTTTCTTATACTTTTGTACTAAGATGACGACTCCTATCCGTAATCAGTCTTGGTGTCAAATTTATCTTTATAAGTTATATTAAAGTTATTTTAGATCTTTCTTGGTTAGTTTCGACGTTACTTTAACGAAAAATAAATTTAATTAAACACTCACAAGTGCCACCATTAAAACAATATGAAATGTCTATTACCCTCTGCATATAAGATGTAACTCAGTTTTTCTCGAACTCTTTGTAGCTGTGAGTTGAAATGTACCTATTAAAGCTATACTTAATACATTCTAATGAGATATTTGCGTAACGGTGACGAGACGAGCGGCACCGAGGGCCCGCACTCTGGAAGTTTCCTACGTCCGCGTCTGACGAAGAAAGCAAAAACGCTGATTTCACATAGGGATGTACTAGGGATTTACACATACTTTATCAACTGACGTACTCATGAGTACGCGAGAATATTAACAACCATCAAAGTGATATGTTAAGAATCAGGACAGGTTTTTTTTTAATATATCATATTATTAAAGCCTCAAACTTATAAGTAGCGTACTACTATATTGGGATACGGTGAACTTCGTGTCGCCCAACAGTGGATGAATGTGGTTAATTTAAGTAAAAAAGGTTATAGTGCGTCAACCTTAAAAGATAGACATATGCTGTCCTGTACTTTTATTTAGAACTTTTATAGGAGAACAATTTCTTCCCACCTAATTTTTGTGTATCTAATCTTAAACGGTTAACGTTTACGCAGTGCACGCAACGAAAGCTCTGAAAAGGAATATTGTTTTTGCGTTTTCGCAACATTTTTCATTGATGCTCCTCTCCTACTAGTCTTATCATGATGTTTTATAGCCTATAAACCTCGATAAATAGGCTATCTATCACAAAAAAATAAATTCGAATCAATAGTTCCTGAGATTAGCGCGTTCAACGAAACAAACAAACTTCTCAGGTTTATATTATTAGTATAGATTTCCTTTTATTATTTAAATAAATCTCTTTTGCAATTGTTTATTTTAATTA